TCCCCCACCCTGGGGCCTCATGAGCCCCCACGCGCCTGCGACCAGCAGGGTTGCAGGGCAATTTCCATCACACACCTGGTACGGCACCTCCAGTCTGGCTGGGGGTTTCCACCCAAATCCAGGGCTTTCCCCATCCTTGCCAGCACTGAGCGTTCGCATTCAAGTGCCGCGCACCCAGACCCACCCTGCGACCCCCATAATTCACAGCACTTGACGATAATCCTGTGATGCGTCACAGCCCAGAGCATCTCAGGAGACATCACCCTGCCCGGCAGGGTGGGAGTCCGAGGCAAAAAGCTCTGACTCTTTGCACAGCCACACACCAACGCTGCTGTTCCTGTCACCTCCTTGCTGCTTTGCGGTGCAAAAGATGAATCAACCGTAAGATGCGAAAGTGCTTGAGGAGAGCAGCCACGCTGCTGCCATCATCCTGCCGCTATCATTTCACCCTGAAAAATATCTTTGCCTTGGAAAGGAGTTGCTCTGGAAGGGGGAGAGCGTTTATCAGCGTTTTCTGAGGAGCCCATCTGGAGAAACGCCCCCCCCCCCCCCCCAGTTTGCCATCCTCACCGGTGGCCTGTGTCCCCGGTGCGAGACGGTGTGCCGGGCTTTGGCTCCATCTGGAGCTAATCGACGGCATGTGAACACACCAAGCTAGCAGCAATCTTCCCTGAGGACCAGCTCAGGGCTCCCACCAATTAGCACCCGATTTCTAATTACTAGGCAGTCATTTATGTGATGACCACCAGCCTGTTGCCCACCCTGCCTCTTCAGGCAGGGGCAGGGTCGTTAATGCACCCTCCTGGCTTGCACCTTGGTCAACGTTCGACTGAATTTAGCCACCAAAACCATCAACGATGATGGGGTGAACTGGTATTTAGCGGTTGAGAGATGTTGTTTGCCCCGTGCACATGCCGAGCAGCCAGGGATGGATCTCAAAACACAAGCTCCATGCGGGCGTTGGAGCAGGTGCCACTAGATGTCAGCTGAACACAGCCCCAAAACATGGAAGCCCAGCTGGGACATGTCCATAATTGCACACCGAGGTTTTTCTCCATCTGCCGGGAAGCTCATCGTGGCGGTGGGAAACTGAGGTCCATGGGGACCCCACAGACCAGGCTGGATGTGTCCCCCCATGGCGGCGGGGCTGGCATTAGCGTCGCCTCTGTGCAGCGCGACCGCACGCCCAGTGTGCTGTGGCATGGCTGGGTGTAACTGGGCATTAGTGCTACTGGACTGGACTTGTGGGAGGAAAAATTTGGGAAAAAATGCCAACTCTCAGCCCTCCTGCTGGCAACACTAAGGGGAACAACAACAGCAACTCCCCTCGCCCATTCCCTTGACCAAGGTGCTCCAGGCAAGTTTGTCCCTTCTGAGCATAGCTTAGCAGCACGTTTGCAATGGGTGACAGCCAGCCACCACCTTTCCTGCCATCTTCCTCCTGCAGCCCCAACTGCTGAGAACACCCTGGTTTCCCAGTTAAAAAAAAAAAAAAAAAAAAATCAGGATTGTCCCCTCTTCTTGCCGCGTGCCCCGAGAGAAGCCAGGTCCCTGTCACTGCGTGGAGCCGCAAGGAGCCCGCGGATGGGGAGGGAGGCGGATGGCTCTGGGGTTTTGGGAGCCCTGGTTCATTTTCCAGCCCTGCATCGGGGTCGCTGTGCAATCACAGCCAGGCACCCAGCAGAAGTTGTGATTGCACCCAAACTGCACCGCTGCCTTCTGCCCCAGCACACCGCCCCGAGCAGGACTAGCTGGGACAGAGCTTCCCAAAGGCTCCTCAGCTCCTGGGCAGACACGTTTGCCATCGATAGTCATGGTAAGCCCCCGGGTCAGAGCTGTTCTATTATTCATACAAAACCCCTTTCCAGATTGATGCGGTTGCTCCTCTTCACCGCAGCATCCCCAAGTGCCCCGCGTTTCCCCAGGAGCTCGATGCGATCCCATTGCGAGCAGTAATTTCCCACCAGGCTATCACCCTCCTTTCTGTGTCCACTTGGGTCTTCCCGAGTTTCTTGTCTGGCGTCTCTTGGTCATCCTCCCAGAGCACCAAGACGATCCGTGTCCCACAAGCCCTGACAGCCCTCTCCACGCCTTGACACAGCAATGCCGACATCAGCTGTCTCGTCAGCTTTGGATCCAAAACGCATGGCTTCATGTTCACTTGTGCTAAGCTCCTCCTTCTGGTTTCATACCCTCCCTGATGATGCTTTCTGAGGCATTAGCAGTGGATCTAATGTTAGTGCCATCAGCAGATTTCCTGGCATCACATTCCTCTGGAACATCTTTAACCCCAAACTGAGCGCTTTGACCCTTGCACCAATCCTGTGCTGCAGTGGGTCCCCCTCGTGTTAGCAACAACCCCATAGCCTGATCCAAAACAGGCCAAAGCCCTGCTTGGACTCCCCCGCCTCCAGCTTACACTGGGAAATGCCAGGTTGAAAAACTCCAAGTTTGGCCCATGCCACACATATTGTGGAAAAGCTAAAAGTAACCAAAAGCAGCATAATTCTTTGGGCACCACAGCAAGAATGGGTCAATCCCAGTTTTTGGATTGAAACCCTTCCACCCACCTTTCTTACCTTGGCATCTTCGGTGTCGGACTGGGTGCTCGTCTCCTCATAGAGGTCAGACTCCTCCGAGGCGATGGGGACTTGCACCGTCAGGTTGGGGTTGTTAATGAAATTCATGTGGTCCAGTTCATCCATGAAAAAATACTCTTTGCCAGTGCCTCCATCCAGGTACTCCGACTTGGGCTCCTGGCCAGTGTCCACATGGTTTAGCACAGAGTTGTCCCTCTTACTGTGCTCTTGCTCTTCCTCCGGGGCCACCTTCTTCCCCTTCCACAGCCTGCGGAGCAGCATGAGGATAGAGGTCTTCACGAAGTCGATCCCCTTGGTGATCCTGCCAAGAGCGATCTGCAAATTGTTCATCTCTCCATCGTCGTCCGACGCCGCCAGGCTATCAGCACTGAAGGAGCTCAGCAGCAAAGCTAAGAACAGGTTCAGCACCTGGAAGGGACAAAAGCAAACACCAGCGCTGACGTCCGGCACCAACATCATCCTCGCAGGCTGAAGCATCAGGGACCAGTCATGGCTGTGGAGAAGACCCTTATGTTGAGCATGTCATGGGACTCCCTCCTCCCATTGCCCAACTCTGGGGACTGCGGAGGTGCCAACCCCTTCTCCTGGAGGACATGGACATGGTCCTCCTCACTCGCTCCTGACTCCACAGTGTCACCCCCAGCTGCTTGGGTCCTGCTGATCCATTTGCAAGCGATGCCAGTCTTCAGCCCATCTCAAACGACCTCTGCTGTGGGTTCATCAACATGTCCCTCCCTTCACTCTCTTGGAGCACTTGGCCTGGCTGGTTCCCACATGGGACTCCCCAAAACCTATGGTGCTTATCCCCACCACCCATAGGGATGCAACTCGGCTCCGTCCCTGTTCTTCCCAGGGAGAAACCTCCTGCTTATTGTCCTCCCAGCTGCAACTCCTCCTCTCCTCTTTGCTGGCTCTGGTAGCTCAGGTGCGCAGTGACCTCCTGAGGGTCTCCAACACCCTGGAGCCACGTAGGAGCCTAAGCCACAGCCGTAACCTCATCCCTTTCTACCAGAGACCGCTCTGCTCCACGGAGAGCGGCATTCCATCTCAGCACAAGTCAGTTCATGGGATGCGAATGCAATGCTCTATATAGCTCCAAGCACGGGCTCTCTCCTGCTTCCCCCAGACCTCTCCTACTTCACCATGCCCAAAACGTGACTGGACCCCGCTACAGCCTCGCCTGGCACGGGTGGACTCGCTGCGTGCCAGAAACCCGGAGCAGCTCACGAGAAGAGGAGCGGGACAGGCTCTCCCCGGGGTACGGGAGCATCGGCAGCACCCAGACATGCGCTCGCTGCGCAGAGCGGCCGATGGGCCAAGCCCACAGCTGTTGATGTTTGTGCCTTTTTGTGCCAGCAGCGTATCTGAGAAGGGAATTAGCTGCTATTCAAGGTCACTGCTGTTTTCACATGGCTCATACCATATGACTTAAATCGCATCTTTAAATAAATCCCTACTATCCCATCAGTTTAATACTTACGTTAAGCGCCAATTACAGCTAATAATTGCTGTTGGCTCTGGGTTTTTTGGACAGGAGTCCATTACCTTGTCACCCGACTGACTTCCTCCCTTTTCCCTTAATAACCCCAAAGGAAATGCTCAAAGTGTCATTAACAGTAAAGGATGACTGACCGTCGCCTTATTCCTCTGCAGGGGAAGTGGGGAGAAACACACACCTCCCTGCAGCCGGGGTGCTCGGGACAGGCTCCAGGACTCGGAAATACCTGAGACATGGCCAGGAGAGCCTGGCAAAGAGGATGAAGAGGGCAGAGATGGTTCTGTAGGTGATCGTGCGCTGTGTTTCTCTACTTAGCTTTAAATGAACCCTGTGCAGCAGCACAAAGCAGGAGCTGCAAAACTTGCTTGGAAAGCTGGGGTGCAATCTCAGGGAGGGCTACACCTCTGGGAGGGCTGCCTCTGACCCCGCCGGCTGAAAATCGTGCTGCCCCCATATCATCTCCAGGAAAGTCTCCTGGAGGGGTGGATGGGCTGTCCTACTCCAAAAACTGGCTCCGGAAGAGGAAAGGTTTCCAGACCCCCTTTTGGGAAGCCCCAGCTGCGATTCCCAGTCTCTAAGCTCCTGCACTCTCTGCAGACCATCCTGGAGATGCTCCTGCTGCTTACGGGTGATTTTCAGCCTGATTCAGCATTGCAATTCAAATGAACGGGTTCCCCCTTGAAAAGTAGCATTACAAACTGTTGCTGGCTGCCGGGTGATGGGCAGTGCGGAGGCACATCAGGCTGCTCCCCACCATGAGGCGATGCATGCAGGGCTGCCCGGCGTCACCCAGCACAGACCCCAGGACACCCCAGGATGAGGTCTGCAGCCAGCATGGCTCTCCATGCCGCTATGGCGGCCAGTTCAAAGCTCCAAATACCTGCTAGGGCGTCCAGTTCAAAGCTCCAAATACCTGGCCCGAGCCAGGGAAGCCAAGCAGCACTCAAATCCCAACTTTCTGCCCTCGAAGTGGGACACTCCAAGCTGCCCTACCCCTGACCCGAGCCATGGGGTGGTCTGGGTTGCTCCCCGGGGCTGCTTTCACCCCTCTGGAGGGCTGTGCCAGCCCGGGGCTGGAGCAGCCACCCGTCGTGGGGAGGGAGGCGTCAGCAGCTCCCTGGGCAGATAGTTTTTCAAAGCAAATTCCAAAGGGCTTACACAACCCCGGCAAGTAATAGGAGCGATTCGGCAAGCCGCACGCTCCCCTCCCCTGCCTTGCTCCTTAAGAAGGGAGAGCAGGGCCCACGCAGGCTGGAAAACAAGCTTCAAAGCCGCCAGCGAGAGGGTTACCAAGTTTAGAAAGGATTTCACGCTCGCCTGGAACTTGCAAACCTACAGCGCTGGCAGCAAGCAGCTCGGGTTAGCAGGGAGGGCAACGGGCAGGGAGGGAGGGTGATGGTGGCCGGGATTCACCAGGACCCAGGGGAAGGAGCTCCTGTGCTGCAGAGGGGTCGTGCGTCCCCGGGGATGCCACCTAGACCACAGCGAAGATTGGGGATGCTGGGGATCTGCAAAAGTCTTCCAAGGGGGGTTCTGCTCCTAAAAGCACCTGGGAGCAAAGGGCCAGCCCTGGGGCGAGGTGGGTGTAACACTGCCTCCGTTCCTCATCGCAGGAGGGTGGGAAATGGGGGAGGAAAGCCTGAAAAGCCACGTGGAGAAGAAAGGGCAGCTTGAAGATGAGCCCTCTTTTGTCCCAGAGCTGCTCCTGCATCTGCCGAAAGCCCGGTGTTAAATTTTCCATGCCTCGTGTTCCCCTTCTGTTCCTGATCTAGTTTCAGCTGAAGGTCCCTCAGAAATTGCTTTTTACCCTGCTTTACACAGGGCTGACCACACAGCACATCCCCACTGGGTCTTTGCCTGCGCTCCTGTACGGCTCCAACAAGACCATGCCTACAGGCCTAGCCCTGGAGATGGGCTGAGCTGGGCAGTATTGGCCAGAGAGCGAGGGACAGAGGTGTCCCCCGCCCACGACACCCTCCGACTTGCCCCCTACCTTTCATTGAGGGTCCACCCCAGCTCTGAGACTCACCACAAGGTTCCCGATGACCATGACCATCATGAAGACGATGAGGCACATGGTCTGGCCAGCCACCTCCATGCAGTCCCACATGGTCTCTATCCACTCCCCGCAGAGGATGCGGAAGACGATGAGGAAGGAGTGGAAGAAGTCATTCATGTGCCAGCGGGGCAGCGTGCAGTCGAGGGAGATCTTGCACACACACTCGATGTAGCTCTTCCCAAAGAGCTGCATCCCCACCACGGCGAAGATGAAGACGATGATGGCCAGCACCAGCGTGAGGTTCCCCAGGGCGCCCACTGAGTTGCCGATGATCTTGATGAGCATGTTGAGGGTGGGCCAGGACTTGGCAAGCTTGAAAACCCTCAGCTACGAGGAACAAGGAGACAAGGCGTTGTTTTGCCGGGGGCTTTCATTACCACAAGGTGTCAGCAAGGCTGCGAAGCTGGGGTTAGACCTTCATGTGGCAGTTTTATGAAGACAGGAGGGATTAAACACCCAACTGCTTTGCAAAGAGCACAGACTCTGACTTTCCTAAATATTTAGCTCGACTGTCCGTGTTATCTTTAACAAGTTGGTGACCGCCATAAAGGTGGTTGAACAATCCATTCTCCACCCTGGTGGCAATTGCATCCAAACCCCCCCGGCACAGCTCATCCCCACGGCACGTACCAAGCGGAAGGAGCGAAGCACGGAGAGCCCTTGCACGTTGGCCAGGCCCAGCTCCACCAGGCTCAGGGTGACAATGATGCTGTCAAAGATATTCCAGCCCTGCTGGAAATACTCGTAGGGGTCCAAAGCAATGAGCTTCAGGACCATCTCTGCCGTGAAGATCCCCGTAAAGACCTGTGGGAAACAGCACCCCGTCAGCTTGCTTGAAAGCCAGCGCTCGGCATGGGGTGGGTAGCACCTCTCCTTTTTGGGGTATTCCCAAAGTGTTTCATCCCACTGGGTCCGGCCCTGGTTGAGAATGAGCTCCCCAGTTGCTGCCCAGTGTGGCTTGTGGAGCCAGGCTGGGAGTACTGGGGACCGATTGCTACTGGAGAGACTTGACAAAGGTGCACGTTGGCAGGTGGAAATTAAAAATAAAAGTCTCATTGGCAAAGGGACCCCTTTCAAATGACTGCTGAAACACAGGGCTTCCCAGCACCAGAAACTGGGCTGCTACTGGGATGCCCCTGCCCCTCCCCAAGCCCTGTGAAAGCTGATCCGGCTTTTACACATTACTTTTTTCCTGGGACTACAACGGCGCAGTGCATTATCACATTACTCCGAAGCGGGATCAGCGATGTGACAATTAGCATCCTTGATGCAATTTCGTGACACGGCATGTGCAGAGGGGACCCGGTGACAAATTTTGCCCTGGATGTGGATCAAGTCGGGATGCACATGCTTCCACTTTGCAGAAAGACTTCTGCACTGGCATCCCAGGGGATGCTCTCCGACGTGCTCCTTTGCATGCCAGCCCACAGATGTCCCCTATTCTGCTCCTGCCAACTGATCCCTGCTCTCTTCCCTGCTCACAGCCTGGCCACCTTTCTGCCTGCAGCCAGACAGGCAGCAGACGCTGCTGCTTTCATCTCGGGCACAGGCAGGCGACGTGGGGGGAGACCGTGGCTCAGTGGGAGCTGCTTCTCCTGCTTCCATCCCTCCCTGGCCCTTCCCCAGCAAATCCCTCCGGCTCCGCCGGCTCCCTGCATTGGGGTGTACACGCAGCCAGAAACCACCGCTGGCCTGAAGGAAAAGCTGGACCCGTCTTTGCAGCGTGACCGTGCTTTGAGCAACAGCTGATTAATCCCCTTGTATTTCCTGAATGAAATCAGAGACAAAGCAGCTATGTGCTGAGCCTCATCCTGCCCACCCGGGGCTCTGGCACCGGCATGTGTCATTCCAGCGCCTGTGCACAGAGAGGCCCCGGCAAGTGCTGGAGCAAGGCAAGGTGGCAAGAGAGGAGGCAAGGTGGCAAGAGAGGAGACAAGGTGGCAAGCTCTCCCATCCCTTAGCTGCATTTCCCAGAGCTACCAGGGGCCTCCTGGACTTTTCCCACCAGCAGATTGCATCCAGCTGAAAGCCATTTACCCTGAGTTCCAAACAGGAGCAGCCACAGCTGATTGCTAAATACACCCGTGAAATCAGGACAGCCCAGGTTTGCAGTGATTTCACTGGGAAAAGTCTTTTTTTTTTTTCCTTTTTTAAATGCTGCTAGCACTGGTGCCTCCTGCTCCGTGGGGACCTGTTTGCTCCCAATATCTGACTTGGCCCCTGCTCTGCCACATGGCCACCCAGCATTGCGAGGACACCATGGGTGTCAGCAGCTCATGCCTGACCCTGGGTTGCAATGTAAAAGATGGACAGGACAGCTCTGCGAGGCCATGGCCACGTTGGCATCGCTGAGATGCGCCAAGCAAGACAGAACCTGCAGCAGAAGGGGGGCAGGGGATGATGGATCCCACCCCCATATCTCTTCCCTCGATCTGAGCCATCCTGGAGTCCAACCCATCGCAGGGATGCTGTGATCAGACCTTTCTGCAACACTTTCTCAGCGGCTGGGACGTGTTTCCAAGCATGCATGCATGCTGTTCAGGTGACACAATGGCAGCAGAGGGGATCTGCCCACCAGGGTGGATGGTGTGGCTGCTGTGGCTCTAAATGGGGAAGGACGGGATGCCCGTAGCTGCCTACCAGGTTCCCCACGGTTAGCACGTTCTCAAACTTCTCCGTCATGGGGTAATGCTCCATGGCCATGAAGACTGTGTTGAGCACAATGCAGATGGTGATGCCCAGGTCCACGAAGGGGTCCATCACCACCAGCTTGACAAAATCCTTCAGCTTCATCCACAGAGGACAGCAGTTCCAGACCAGGAACGTGTGGGCAAATTTGTACCACCAGGACGGGCACTTCTGGTGAGCTTCCTCCAGCTCTGAGGAAAGAAAGATGACATCAGTGTAGGCTTATCCTGTCCTCCCCTGGGTGGGGCAAGTGCTAACCCACTAGAAGAGAACTCTCCTGAGGTCCTGAACCAGCCCTAGACCATCTACAGAGTTTAATATGGGGGCCAAAAGGAGGAGCCTGCCCATGCCCATGCCCAGGCACAGTGATCTTGCAGACCTTACTTTCCAAACCGGAGAGAGATGGAAAGGCAGATCAGTCAGGGAACTGTGGGTCCAATCCTGCTTTCAGCACCTGGGCAGGATTTGAGGTGGCCCTGCCACAGTGAGATTGCAGAGACATCCAAGGGAACTGCTCTGGGGTGGTCAAAGGGTTTGGCGCCCATTCGCAGGGAGGACAGGGCTGAGAAGCCTTTTATGGCTGAGTCTACGGTACTTTTTGTTGAAGTTGAGACAGCAGCTCTTGGGAAGCCATTCAACAGCTCTCAGTTGACTCTGGAGACTGCTGTAATGAATTGCAATCCCGTTCATTTGCAAGAGAGATTGTAGTATTGCCTCCAGGCATCATCCTAGCTAGTTGGGATGAAAAACCTTGCTCAAGCATCACTGCAGTGCACTGACCCCGTATGGAGACCCCAGGTCCAGAGTCATCCCTTGCATGGGGATGGAGATTTGGGACAGCCGCTATCACTGGTGCGTGCCAAGCACCCTAAGGCCACCAATGCGCAACAGTTGGGCTAAAACAGCCAGCACACACAGCCCTCACCCAGTCTGGGGAAGGACGTACCTTCCACAGCGTTGGAGATGACACTGATGGCACTCCCCACCCTCTTCTCAAGGCCTGGCCCATCTTGGTTACCCACAGTGAGGTGGTTGTGGTCTGATTTCTCCGGCTCGTTGGTTGGGTTGAACTAGAAGGAGAGGAGGCCACAGGGGATGAATGCAGAGCGCTGCAGGCTATTTAGTGTACTTAAAGATAGAGCAGGCAGAAGAAAGGGCATGGTCTGGAGAGACCTTGGGGTGCGACATTGGAACTACAGGTGGGCTGCAGAAAGACTCGTAGGACCCAACCCGCAACAAGCTGGGCACAAGCCTGTCCCTCCACCGGGGTTTATTGGGATGGTCACCCTCAAGGGATGGCAGAGACAGAGCCGAGCACGTACATCAATCACCGTAGCGGAGCGCTCCAGCATGACCTTGGGGACCACTTGCCCGTTGCAGTCCTTTGCCTTGTCCTGGTCGCTGTTCAGGTCCGAGTTGCACTCCTTCTCAGCCACGCTGCTGGGCAGGGAACTGCTGCTAGACCGCCGGTCCTGCAACTGCAGCAACCCACGTCTCCATCACCCACGTGTCCGCAGCCGTCGGGAGCTTCCCGCGATTGCTGCAGGGCACCAGGCTAAGGAGGGGGGAGGATTGAGCCCCAGGACCTCCTGGGCAGGACTTTGTGGCTCCAAAGCCAGCTGCTGCAGGACCTGGGCAGCAAACTCAGATCCTCACGAGCAACAACGAGGGATAACAATTTGCAGTAGCTAAACAGAAGTTGCAAGCCTTTCCTTTTCACTTGCACACCCCACCGTACTAAGCTCTCCGCCCAGCAGTATTAGATCTGTTCAAATTTGGTCAGGGTGAATAATTCATAAGGACAAAACTATGCAAACCTTCTAATTTCTGTCTTGCAGGAAACTTTAATCTTTGAAACATGCTTCCCAAATGGGAAAGAAGCAAAATCTTCAAGGCTCTTGCTGAAATGCGATGTCCAAGGTTTTTTTGACCCATGTTTGGGTCAAATTTTTTTTTTTTTTCCCCCAAATGTTGTTTTATTAGGTTTTCATTTGCACATGCAATAGTGGTTGTTTTTTTTTTGTTTGTTTCGTTTTGTTTTGTTTCTGACAGTGGTATTAATATTTGAAGTTTACTACACCCTCTGGTAGCACTAAGGATACCACAGCGGAGTGGGAACTTCTCTGTTCCCACCGCACATCGCTGAGATGCAACATGGTTTCCACGCTCGGTTGCTGGATATTAAATGGATCCGAGTGCCCATTTCTTGTAGACGCTTTGCCCTCGCTCTCAGCCTCTGTCTTCTCCATTTCTCTAGGTGACAATAAAGGAGTATCATCCCTTAATAAAGCCTTTGGGCAACTCACTGGTTAATTTGCTCAGGGAACTGGCCACAGCACCTGGAGGTGCCCAGCCCTGGAGTCCCCATCCCTCAGGCAGGGCTTGCTTGGACCCATCCTGCAAGCAGCAGCAGCCAGGTAAGAGCGAGCCACTTCCATGGAGGACGTTGTGGCTTGGCACAGATCAGCAATGAGAGATAGAGGCTCTAGAGAGGAAAACATTGTTTTGTGTCTCTCTCTACATGCAAGGAAACTGGTCTTTTGCCCAGACTAACAGTTACATTTGCAGGGATGTCCCCTGCGGACGTTGCTGACATAGACCAAAATGATGAGTAGAAATGAAAAATGGCTGGGCTGCACTATCAGACATCACAGAAGCTTTTGCCCATGTTTTTATAGGCATATTGTGCTGAAAAGAAACTCCCAAGGACTGGAAAAGGGGCTAAGGTAACACTTTGGGACCACAATGGAGCAAATGTCTCTTGTCTAGACCGTGCTTTTGCCAAGA